CCTCGGCCAGAGGTATGAAGTTGGGTTGCTTTGGCGGGAAGAGAGGGTCAATCTTCCACCAAGCTATGCAATGGCCAAACAACGTTTGCTCAACATCGAGTCTCGCATGCAGAGAGATGCTATATTCGCCGACAGCTATAACAGAGAGATTGCGAAGTACGTGGACAAGGGATACGCAAAGCAGTTGACGTCTGTTTAAGCCGACCGCATTGGGCCCACGACATGGTATCTCCCCCATTTCGGTGTCACCAACCCTCACAAGCCGCAGAAGCTTCGCATTGTTTTCGACGCAGCTGCAGTTGCAAATGGTAGCTCATTGAACAAAGTACTGCTCAAAGGTCCGGAGCAGGCACAGTCGCTAGTCACAATAATACACAAGTTCCGTCAGGGAGTTGTCGCAGTAGCTGGTGATATCGAGGAGATGTTTTCGCGGGTGCGAATTCGTGAAACCGACCAAGACTCACAACGTTTTCTGTGGCGGGATGGTGACCCGAAACAGCCGATACGAATATACAAAATGACAACGATGATCTTTGGGGCCATTTGTTCGCCGTGCTGTGCCGAGCACATAAAAAACCTAAACGCTGCCAAGTTTCAGTCCACAATGCCCAGAGGCTCACGTGCCGTCATCGAGAACACTTACGTGGATGACCTGGTTGAGTTTTGGCAGTGCCGATGAAGCTATTGATGTTATCCGGGAAGCTGTCAAAATCAACGCCGCCGCGGACTTCAAACTGCGCAACTTCATATCGAACAATAAATCAGTACAACAAAAACTTAATGGTGAATGCGGATCTGCGGGCAAAGCCATCATGAGAATGGAGCGCCAAGCAACAACAGAGAAGGTTCTTGGAATGTTCTGGAATACCGCTAGCGACGGGCTAGAATTCCATTTTCGATTTCATAACATTGCTCACGACGTTCTAAACGGCATACGACCCCCAAGCAAGCGAGAATTGTTGGGGATAGTAATGTCGATGTACGACCCATTCGGCCTTTTAGCAAATACCACGATATGCCTAAAATTGCTGGTACAAGAGCTGTGGAAACTTGGTGTGCAGTGGGACGACGCTATTCCGAGCGAATTAGTAGAGCGGTGGTCTAAGTGGTGGAGGAACGCCCAGTCCCTCAAACGTCTTTCGGTACCACGGTGTTACTCCAAAATGTTATTGGTCGCTGAAGATATCCAGCTACATATTTTTGTCGACGCCAGCGCCTCTGCTTATGCTGCTGTTGCGTACCTACGTGTGAAAAAACACGATAAAGTTGATGTTGTTATGGTATGCGCCAAGACAAGGTGTGCGCCACTAAAAGGCTTGACAATACCGCGCCTTGAGTTACAAGCTGCAGTTTTGGGTTGCCGTCTGAGGGAGTCCCTCGAGCGCTGCCACGACTTTAAAGTGAATAGCACGACGTTTTGGAGCGATTCCAAAACCGTCGTACTGTGGATTCGCTCCACAAGCAGGAGCTACAAACAGTTTGTGGCATTTCGAGTAGCCGAAATATTAAGCACGACATCCGTAAATCAATGGCGCTGGATTCCAACATCATTAAATGTCGCAGACGAAGCAACACGAGCATCTACGTCATTTGAC